TCGAGATTAATCAGTACAGGCACAACATTTACAAACGCTTCGAAGTAAACGGCCCAAATTGACAAACGGTCCAAAATATTTATAATAAACAAATTTGTACACATCGGAATTATCAACAGCATCCACTATGCATATGTATATGTACAGGAGAGCGGTAAAATCGAGCTTAAATTGAATTGTTTTTTCATCTCGCGCATCGATGTTTGTTCACTGATTAGCTCCGACACGAATCTGCAACAAAAAATAGTGAAGAAGCCTGAACTGATTGATTTTAATCATTCGACGAAGAAATCAGGAGTTCTTGCATTTCCCTAAAAAATAAGCTTCTGCATTTTTTGTGGAATAACTCCTCTGAAATTAACATATGACACCTCGATATTTCCTACTTTATTTTGACAGTGAGATAAAAAGTGAGTCTTTAAGGGATAATACGATGACTTTGCAGTGTTATCAACGAGTTGATCGACAACAAAATAATGATCGCACCAGATGCTTACCATGAAGTTATCCGATACCCTTACTTGGTCATGTAGTTTTCACGGTGGAATCCATCTGAAACAGTTTTGAACAATGACGAACACAGTGATCGACTTTTATTCATTCATTGGAACTTTTAAAAATAGCATTTGTTACACTGATATTGTGAGGAGAGGGAGGGGGGGATTTTTTGAAATGTTTGAATAATTATGAAATTGTATCAGCTCAGAAGAGCAACTTTGAGATGTTGGCAAATCTTTTGTGCATCTGAAAAACGGATTAGTTGCTTTTGTTGGTTTTTGTTGATCCTTTGTCACCTCTTTTTTCGAAGCTTACTGAACTGTTATGGGCTGAATTCACTGAACTTAGGCATAGTGATCGAGGTCATCTCATCTGAATGATCAGATCAATTGATGAAGAACGGAAAGTTATCAACCTCCATTGGTCGTGAACTGAGCATACTTCTTGTAGGCATCCTCAACCGATGTTCGTCTTCCTAGCATCTTGCTCAGCGAGAAACGTCTCTCTGGAACGCTTGTTCCAGTCACATCCGAATCGGTCGATGCAGTCGACTCAGTTCTGTGACGTGCTGAAAGCAAAATCCAAATGTTATAAATTATATTATCGTCATTTTCGAATCCGTTATCTGATTTGTTTTTTGATCATGAAAAAACATTCCGTACAAAGTGCATTATCTCTCAACAGAATCCTCCCTGACATTTAACGCTTCTAGTAAGAAACAGAATAAACTGGTGATATCGCAATCACGCCAAACACTATCTAAATTCCGTTACTGCAACGATACATTGCCGAATACAACACGGAATAAATTTGAAAGGATCTTGAAGGAAATCTGGCTGAACTGAATGAATGTTTAAACTCACGGATGTTCACATTTTTCGTATCGCCTTTTGCAGATGACATAGTTTTGTTTTGTTTGCTTTTATCAATCAGAAAAATCTGAAACAAAACGCTTTTCAAATCAAAACAATCCATACAAATTTGTTGAAGATGAACGAACAATCAGCCGATACAATACTTCCATCATTGAAAGAACATCCAATAATGAAAGTCAAGTGACTTTTTCTCGATGCCAACAAAAATTGATGATAAAGGACGTTTCGTTCGTCGATAGAATGAGTCGCCGGTTGGCTGCATGTCGTGATGTTCCACGACTCCATTGTTAGCTTGTTGGAATATGTGACGAAATCCAACACGCAGCTGGAAGCAAACGAGCGAATGACTACGCGAACGCATTGAATGTCCATATTTATGCCAACCATCATCGTCACGAGCAAATTATTCGAGCCCTCCCCCCTCTTGAAGGCGGTTCTTGCACAATATCGCATGTGCTATGAGAATTGTGCTGAATGGCAATGAAGAACAGAAACGACGACGAGATTGATAGTATCTGGCGTATAACGGGGGAAGAATTTTTTTTGTGGCTGTACAGAATGTTTTGTTATTGCTGGCGGTGTTGGTACTGCTGTGGAAATGGTATTAGTGATGTACGTTGATGATAACTGATCATTGATGCGAATTGAAGCAAACGCTCTCGTAAACAGTGAAAATTGAACAATATTTCATTGTCACTTACTGCATCTTGTCCTTCATTCAGTGTGTTAACAAAAAATGGAAAATAATTTACTGTCTTCTCGAGAACAGGAACTGAAAACGAAATTGAGTTCGATGTAACAACTACACATGCTTGTTCAAGTAATTCATGTAAATAATTGCTAACTGCAAAGAAATGCTTTCTTCCATTCCACTTAAACACATTCAATTTATTTGCATATTCACTGAATTTTGCAACTATAACCAAAATCCTCCCATATTCTTCGACGAAATTGTTTTTGTGTTCTCTCTGACAACGAAAAAATCTGCGTTTTGCTCGTTATTCTTCGCTCATCTAA